TATGATGTAAATAAAACTCATAAATTTATAAAAAAAAAAAACATTGCATAAGAGATGTATAATACCATCCAATATATTTATTAAGAACAATGTGTACCAAAGACACATAAATTTGTAAAATAAAAAAATTAAAGAATTTTTATCCATTGTAAAGTTAAATTGTTATTAGTCAGCTTTCTTTTGGATTTACGAAAAAATAAAATAAATTAAGAAACTCACTCTCTACAATATTAAACAATAACATAGTAATAAATAATTTATTTGACATACAATGCATATATATTTATAACACAAGCAATAATTCGAATGTTACAGTACATACTTGGAAGAAATCCAAATTAAATAATGGATCAAAATAATTAAAAACTTATAAAATGGTCAAATAATGACTCATAGTCAAATAATTGTTCATAATAATTATTAAATATACTTACTATTTGCAATAAATTATATTCTTGTGAATTTAAGAAACACAAAAATTAAACATGCATTATAAACTTACAAATTGTGGTAAGTAATAGGAACAACATTATTATTGAATTTCTCTTTTTATGAGCCTGAGAAACAAATAAGACTTACAATCTATAATATTAAATAATAATATTGTCAAAACTTTTTATGAATAAATATCAACAAATTCCCAAGAAAACTTATCATCTATAATATAAAATAATAATAATAAGTCAATCTTTTTCATATAAATTTGAGAAACTTATAGAAGACTTATATCAGCAATATTAAAAAAAAAACAATAAATAGTGAGCAAGCTTTTTGTTAATTTAATAAAAAATATAAACTATCGAAAATTATTATCTGAAATTGCAAAATATTTGTCAAATATTTTTCAAATTTTAATACAAGTAAATAAACATAATAAAACTTGCTATCTAATTATTAATTATACTAAATAATCAATTATTTTTCTATTTGTTGAAAAACAATTATGAAAATATAAAACTTATAATCTTCAAAGTCTACAACAATAAATTAGTAATATGATATTTATGGGAATATACTGAAATTAAAACCTACTTCTTGTAAAATAAGAGTTTTAAATATGATTAAAGATCCTTAAATACAAAATTTGTAATACAGGTAATAAATACGTCAAGAAGACTTACGATCTGCAATTAAAATTTTGATAAATTAAATTATTTTTTATATGCATTGTAGCAGGCTGATCAGTGAGTCTGTTGCTAATAATCAAAAGCTTGTGTAATCTGCTCCTGTCCTTCTATTACATAACAAAATACAAAGGCAGAGGCATAAAAAAGATTTGTACAAGTTTTAAAGTAGTTTTCTTAAACTACTTATAACCTCATTATTATAATATTTGTTAAAAGATTCATAATTTTATTAAGTTATCGAAAGAAGTTACATAATCATTATAGCTATTATAGTATTATGTCATGCATAAATCACTTTGTGGTCAGCTAATTTTTTATTATCTCAACTCATAGTTTTTTACCTTTTTGACATGAATGGATTGTTTGCATATTCTTCTGTCTTGTAAGGGGTATATTGTTAGTCAGCAATCATGTCATGATCATTGATCACATGACATGGCAAAAATTCTGAACTTGGTCTAATTTCTTTGGCCTTTAACAGCATATTAATAAAGAAAATATTCTTACACAATATAAAGAATATTATGAAATTTTTTTTAAGTTAGTTTCAAAACAAAAAAAAATAAAAGTACGCTTGAGAATACTTATGCTCTAAATATATAAAGAATAATATATAAATTTTTTGTAAATTTGTAAATAAATAATGAACATATTCATTGAAACTTACAATTTAACAAATCAATAAAAATAATACAATCAACTTTTCTTTATGTGTTGCTAATAAAATACTTACTCTCTGTAAAATAAATAATACATAATTAATTACAATTCATAACAATTTTGAGCCAAAATATGTTGAAAAACTTACTATCTATAATATTAAAAAATGATACAATTAATACTATTTTAAATTTATAAGAACAAAATCAAAAAAGCTATTTATGCTTCAGAAACTTACAATTTATAGTAATGAAATCAATGATTACTTTTTTATGTATTTTTAAAATAATTATAGATCTAATTATAAAATTATCTCCTATAATAATACAACTATTGTATTAATAAATTTACTTTTGATATAATTTATACATAGAAACAAATATGTTTAATAAACTTGTCATCTGCGAAATCAAGAATAATTAATAGCTAAACAAAGCATTTCATATTTTATGGTGAAATAACAAGAATTTATTTAAAGCTTACCCTCTACAAAGTCGATGATTGTTATATATTTAAGCTGTTTTTAATATAAATATGATATAATAAATAAAATTTACAATCTTAAATAAAAAGAATAGTATTATAATTACAATTTACAGATATTAATCAAAACCTTGCCCACTATAAAATCTGAAATTAAAATAATTAAATTTTTTTTATATAAATAATAACTAATTTGTACAAGTAGCTTACTAGTTATATACAATATACTGTATATATATAGTGGTTGTCATAAAAAATGCATTACTAGCATTGATAATCTTTAATTAAATATATCTTATGCAATTAAAATTCAATTACAATCAAATTAATGATATTTATAATGCATTAATTGATCTAAATAATGCTTAAATTTAAAGCAGATTAATATGATAGATTTTGATTAAAATAATATTTAATAAAAATCACAAGTGCATTATTTTTGCCATTTTTTCAACAAATATAAAAATAGCCTTTAAAAATTTTTTTTAATATTAAATAAATACAAAAAAAAAATAATTGACAATAGAACAAAGAATAAAGATTATTATACTACTTGAAGAAGGATATAGTTCCTATCAAATTGCTATTAAAATTGGCTGTAAAGTTTATCATTCTACAATCTTAAGACTTAAAAAAAAATATCAAGAAACAAAACAATTGACAAATAAATCTACTCTAGGTTGATTATGAAAACTTACTCCATGTCATTAATGTATTATTGTCTGAAAAATAATGATAAATAAGTATAAAACAGCTATTGATATACAAAAATCACTAATAATTTATGATAAAATAGACATTAGTGCTAGTACAATTCATAGAATACTTAAAAAAAATGGCTTATGTGCATATGCAAAATATATAAAACCTTTATTGTTTAAAACGTATCATAAAATCCATCTAAATTTTGTTAAAAGTATTGATATTGAACTATAGAAAACTGGAATAAAGTCATTTGATTAAATGAAATGAAATTTCAAATTTTTGGACCTAAAGGATGTAAATTTTATTAGAAAAGACCTGAAGATCCTATAAAAGGACAACATATAATACTGACAGTCAAATTTGAAGGTGGTAATATTAATATATGAGGATGTATGACTGCATTTAGTATATGATATTGTATGAAAATTGAAGGAAATCTTGATAGCAAGCTATATAAAAAAATTTTACAAGATGAATTATTATATGCATTAGATTATTATAATTTAGATCTAGAAGAGATTATTTTTCATCATAATAATGATTCAAAACATAAGGCAAAATTGGTTCAAAATTGATTAAAAGATGAAAAAATCGAAGTTCTTTTATGGCCATCACAATCTCTGGACTTAAATCCAATAAAAAAACTATGGAATAATGTAGAATGAAGAGTTAAAACTTTAGAGATTGAAATACATGATAAAGAAACTCTTTGGGAACATTTTTTAAAAACCTGGAATGAAACATCTAAAGATACTTGTACAAACCTAATTGAGACTATGCCACAAAGAATAAAGGATATAATTAAAGCAAGAGGAGGATATACACGATGGTAATATTAATACAATAGATTTATATATTTTTTATATGTATTTTTTTGAAATCAATAAAAATTATTAAAATTATTAAAAACAAAAAAAAACACACCGATAATTTTTATTAATTATTTTTTTAAAAAAATCTATCATATTAATAAATAAAAATATTTAAACATTAGATAAAGAAAATTATGAAATATATTTATTTAGAATTTAATATTAATATGAGTTAATTTGCATAAAATATATGCTATAAAGTATCGATAATGCTAGTGGTGCGTTCTTTATGGAAGTTGCTGTATATAAGATGGTATAATCAGACATTGTATTATTAATAGAAGGAAAAATAATAATAATATGTTGCGAACTTAACTTGCTGCAGTATGATGTTGATGCTTAATACAAATTATAAATATGCAAGTAGCAAAACATTATTGAGAATATTTATCCCCTATAATATTATGGTAATAAACATAGGTTATTACTTTCTCAATAAATTAAAGCAATAGTAAAAAAGCACATTAAAGTTTACAAACTGCAGTATTAAAATATAAAACAGTAACCATCTTTCGTGAAAGTTTGAGAAACTCAATTATACTACATTTAAAACCTGCATTCTAAAATATTAAAAGAAACAAATAGTAATATTATAGCAAAATATGCGCCCTGCTGAAGTTACAACTCTCCATATCGCTAATGGACACGTAACGGGGTATGCTAAAGGTCGTGGGATAGATAAAGGCGAACCTAGGAAATTCCGTTCAATGGAAAAAGATGAAAAACGAGCTTGCGAATTACTCACTTGGATTCAAAAAGCAATTGCAAGTGGTACTTTGCGGGATCCAGGAATACCAGGTATAAAGTGGTTCAATTCGTTTCTAAAGCCTTATGGTATTAAGCCGAGTGATTTGCGCGAATTGGGTGCAAACTATACTGCTATGATACATGAACCTGAAAATCCTGGCAAAAGATTAATTATTATGCGAGAAGCTTTAAGACATAACCCGAAATACGTATCACCAGTAGAGCATTATATACGTGTACCTTATAGGGTTATCGGATGTGAACCAGTGCATAAAATTTCTGAAGGTAATCCTATAGTGCCAGATGTGGTGTCATCCTCACTAGGTAAGACATCTAAGTCCAAAATTGAGAGTAGTGGTTTAGATAATATTATGAGTGCATATGGAGAAATTTCTGATGATGATAACTAATCACGCTTCTTTGCTTTCACCATATTCACAGTAAAATCTTTATCATCATTATACCATTCAGAGTTGGACCCAAATTCAGATGAAGACGAGGATTCAGATGCGATATCATTTAAAAATCTCTTTTTTCTTTTAGCCTTGCATGGTGTACGATTTTTTCGAGAAATATCGGAGTTTGATATCGCATTTATAATATCTTGCTGAATCTCAGGTTTTACTATCTCCATTAATCGGTGAATAGGGATCCAGATTTTTTTTACCTGATACTTGCTTAACAATATCAGATACCACTTTATCGGTAATATGTGCCTTAGCACTAGCTTCGCTATTGGTAAATTTTTATCTTTTTCAAAACCCAGTTTTTTCGCAATCTCATAAGGGATAATCGGACATTCTGAACCCGAATCACAAACTACTTCTGTATCCTTACCATCGATTAATATTGATAATTTTTTCATTGATTCTATTAGCGATGCGATTTTATCATCATTCTCTTGTAAATTCTGATGAGCCATCCCAATATTGCTATTAGCTTCAGTCATTGTAAATGCGAAATTATTATTTATTAATACGAATTTAAAAATGCAGAATTAAATATATTATCATAAAACATCACGATGAAAATTTTATCCTGCGAAATCAATAAAGTACCAGTAACAGTTATACCAGATTCCGGTGCTAATTGTAATATTATAGGTGAGGAAGTAGTAAATGGCATAGGCTTGAAAATCGATGACGTAATGCAGAAATATATGATCCCATTAGCAAGGTCGATGTGTTGGGAATAATTCGTACAATAGAGATTTCAATCCTGTCTCAAGACCATAAACAAGAGCAAGTGGAAGTTACTGATATTTTTGTAACCAATAAGCCTGAGCTTGAATCTGTACTGATATTGGGTCAGCCGTGGTTCCAGGAAAATGCAATGAAAATGGACTTCCTAAATAAAACTCTTACATTGCTCAATGGAACTGATATACCAGTTATTAAAACAAGAACTCCACCACCTACACAACTTAATCAATCCGTGAATGATTATTTCGAGAAGATAAAGGTACAGTATATGCTACAATATTGAATGTCGATTTAGATAATCAAAATCTTAAGGAAACTTTCTTTAATGGCTTATTACAAGAGAATAAAAAAGAGATAGTTAGATTCGGGACAATGAAACCTCTGAATGAAATAGTCGATCACTTGAATAGAATCTTATCCAAACGAATAAATTCAGCTAAAATTATTCAGGGTGCAGTAATTAAATGGCTCTATCAGCCAGGAGGATCGTTTATGAAACAAGCCAAAGATCGGTTTTATCAACATTCAAATAAACTTATCCTAGACATGAGCATGACTATAAATGCATAGAATTAGTAGGTAGTCGGAGTGACTAATTAACCAAACATTAGTTATTTTTTCAAACAAATATAATTACTTTATAACAGCGAAGTAATAATTTTATTTCAAAATGGCGCCCAAAAAATCCAACAAAGATCCCGATTCGAAACAGTCAGAGAAGCCTATTAAATCAAGGACACCTCTTGCACGATTGGCTAAGGAGGATATCGAGTGTATCATGTATGCCAAAGCCTTGAAGGGCGGATCTAAAAAAGTTTCGGAGTGGTATAGAATTGGTGCCCAAAGATGCATTAAAATTTGGAAATCTGAAGACCCATACTCATACGCTAACTCAATCGGCGAACCTAACTTGCCTGAATGGTACCCCACTAATACCAAAATCAAGAAGGCAGAATCAATGCCAGAACCAGCATCCCAAGAAATAGATATACCCGAGGAACCCAAGCCAGATCCAATCAAGGAAAAGCGGAAAAGAAAACAGACGGAAATGGAACGAATTGCGAAAAATATTTTTAGATCAGAATTGGGTAAGCTGGTACAAGCCGATGACTAAAAATATGAAAAAATTATTCAAATATATAATACCACATGATTGACCTAAATTTGAATCGAAAAAATTAGTAAGTATATGTTAAGATGGGTTGTAATAATCAGCGTAAAACGATGGGTAAATTCACCGATAATCCAAAACAATATTTACACTGCTCAATACCGATAAATATGAGCATATATATGATCCGAAAACTGGATTTATTAGAGTTATGAATAAATTCACAGGTAATATAACTGGGATATTCGATTATGCAGAGTTGCAAGAATATTTAAGTGTAAATCACATCACGTTATAGGGTAAAACCCATTGCAAAGCAATAATGAGCGATGTCATGTGTTTAAATCTACGAATCAGAGATCAACATAGAAGTTCGAGGAACATGCAAAATATATTTACATCAATGATATATGTACATTTTAAAACTGATATAACTCATGATAATTTCTGTTATATAACGGCAATTATATCCCATCGGTAATGGGTCTTCAGCCTTTAAACCACGTCGGGCACGTGACAAATCTAAAAAATAAAATAATCGTTTATTAACTTTTTTTCGCTCATATATTGTAAGACCAACACCGCGATAAAAACTTACCTATATGTCCTCTTCTACAATCAGTGGACGCCGGTGGGATTCGGTTTTGATTCGCTTTCGGCTTGTCGAGTCTGATTTGTTTATTTAGATTTCGTGCATCGTTTAGGTCTTGCCGAGGAATCGAAAAAACAACTAATCCACGCGAATCCCTCTCAATTCCCGCTTTAAGATCATTATATATATTCGAGAAGTCCCGCTGATGGTGGAAAAATAAGCTATGTACGAAATATACTACACTATGGCGGATCCCTTTAGTGACTACAAAGTTTCCATGAAGCAATAAACGCGAGGAGAACAATATAACCTGCCCAGGTCGAAGTGGAACAATTATTTTAAGTTGAGGAAAACAAAGTTCGCCTCCCTCGAAGTCGCCCAATGCGAGCAAACAACAGAAACTGTTCGCTTCGTCCCAATGATAGTCACTTATGGTATTATAGTTAATTGCTATCATTGGAAAAACCCCAAATGATCTCGGAGCAAATGCGCCCCATTCTAATTTACTCAATTTCTCGTATAGATTACGATAATGCTTTTTAAGAAATCGATTAATAGAATTGGATAGCGGGTGGAGGTCGCAGATCAATTTATTAACGCACTCTTGATGATCGGAATTATGGCTACTTGCCATATTGGAACTTGTATATGGAAAGGGATTGTTGAGGGTAAACGCACCGAAATGTTCTATAAAGTTTTTCCAAAAACTTTCACTTCTATGTAATTGGTGCTCTAATGTATGTTGATAATAATAATTGATGCCTTCGGTTGCTTTTATTACTGCCCCAAAATCATCTACTAATCCTAGATGAAGCAAGGTCTGGTTGTTAACATCGACGATACATCCCGGATTTACTAAACAACGGAACCCAGTTATTTCTGAAGGGGATCGCCATTTACGTATTGATGTAATCATTCGGATCTTTTCTTTTTCCGTAATACGTGGTGAACCTGGATTAAAAATATTTGCGTGATATAATGTGGAACATCGAAGCTTTGCTTCTTCGTAGCCAGAAATTCATTTTTACTTTGAAAATCCAATGTATGTCGTAATCTTTGCCACCCTAACCGGAGATGTTGTCTCACTTCCCTTCTTTTGATTTTCCCTTTGAAGCCTAGCCAAACCCCGAATGAAACCCATAAGCTTGTATCCAATTCTAACGAGGTACCGTCAATGATATCTCTATTCACCAATTCGAAAAAATCAGAAGGAATCTCGAATGAATTATACACATCATTTTTAGTGGCCTTCGCTTCTCTAATAAAGGGTCTCGGTTATCAAAACTCTCGTAGAAATTTCATGTCGAAACTTATTTTTTGATGCCGATATACGATACCATAAATGCCTTTTTTAGATTTTTTGGCAATTGTTCTACGAGTTTAGAGTCATCACTAATAATTTGGCTTGCTCGAGGATCTTTCCAAGTCAATTTTTGAATAGATAGAGTATTCACGGCCGAATATAGATGCTGACAAAGGGGTGTAGTATCTTTTCTGAGCTTCTCCTCCAGCTCAATTATATTTTTCTCAATTTGATCGGAGCCGCGAGGACTCTCCTTGTTTGTTTTAATTGCCCCCATGTCGTATAAGGTGCAAACTCCTTCAAAGGCACTATCAAACTAATATAAAAAATATGCATTAATATCACATAATATCATCATTTAACACCAGACAATTTTAGAATATAATACATCTAAATAACTAACCTGTGGGAGAATTCGCAGAATTCTTAATTGGCGTGACGAAGTATCCATGTATACATTGCTATAGCGGAGCTAGTGTCTCTGACACATATTTTTTAACTTCATATGTATGTAACGAGTCTACTCACCACGCCTATTTCTCCCAGTATTACGTTGACGATTAGAATTAGATGTTCTTCGACTAGATCTTGTATTAGATGGTGTTTGAACGACGGTTCCGGGGTTATTATCATTAGTATTGGAAGAATTATCCCTAGTTTGGGAGGTGTTATTATCGTTGCTCTTGATGGTACTATCTTTGTTGCTACTCATTTTTTCGTTCCTAAATACAGAATAATAGTAAGCACAAAACCGTTTTTTAATAAATAATACATTAAATAGTGGTATATACTTTTGAATTATCGGTAGAAAACGTTATTGGAACCCATCTTACAGAAGGAAAAATCGAAGTACTTTATAGCATCCAGGACCATTAGATCTATTCCAAAGCTAAGTATATTTCGTTATTATTTTTGGTAAAAGCGCACCCCTTAATTTGACGATGTAAAAAAAGATAACGATCTCGGCGATCTGGGAAATTCCAAGTCATTGTAACATATGGACTTCGATAAAACAGCTAATAAAAAACGATAAGACCATCCCCCTTAGGGTTCTTTCTAACTCATCTCGTGATTTTCTTATCTGGGAAACATAGAAGGTAAAAAATGATTTCTACATAATCGTCCGGCAGAAAATAAGCTATATTTAAACGTAGATCGCATTACGTATTTATTGACGAATCAGTGATCAGCACAGAAGTTGGCCCGACATAGATTATCATTTTTCACTTTATTATTGACTGGGAAACGTCTCTTTAGTACGTATGATTTTGCGATAAGAATAAGCATAAACGAATATCAAAAAGACAATAAGAGAGACAGACCGTCAATCTCCATTAGTGCGTATATTAAAGGACTTATGACTTAGGAAGTTGAAATCTCCGCAATCTCCGAGATCGTCGTATGTCTGCCAACTTTGTATACCTGCGTAATTCTATATACTATAAAAAGCCACTGACTGATTCACCTAAAAATAACCGAAAATTTTTTTCATTTTATTCCTTACATTATCTAGCTTCTGCATAAACCAGATTCTTTACGCCATATACCGTTATAAAAAATGTCTTTACCTTCCTCACCGGCTTCTACATCCTCCACTTTGACTGAAGAAAGGTCAACCCGCACGATGGCAGACGTTGTGAAAGAATCTAGATACAGAGGAGTTAATCGAATATCTGCGGAAGAAAGACTTGAAGCTTAAGGAGTCGCATTTCAAGATTTTTCGAAAAGAAGAGATTACTGGTTCCGCATTTCTGGAATATGACAGAAGATAGATTCCGTAGTATTGGTTTGGCATTGGGACCAGCGATGGCACTCGCAAAATTTATCGAGAGTCTAGGACAGAAATTAAGAACCTTCTCGTCGTATAAAACGTTGGAAGAACTGAGAGACGTGCTTCGTAAATATAAGGTCAACGGAGAGGATATTACGTGTATCAAGCAATTCAATCCGGGTATGTGATATTTTTTCTTGGCAAAAGTGATCGGCAAAAACTGTGACAAAATGTCACGATTGAGCATCAGTTATATATTAACATTTTTTCTTTATAGCGTTCGAAGTGATAGATGAAAACGATGAAGCGTTTAAGCATTGCGTGGACGATATCATACTTATTCTGTCAAATATTGAAACGATGACTGACGCCAACGAAGCCACCCATTGTGAATTTATTTCGTCCATCCTACACGCATCACTTGCCATTGTTCGAAGAATCACCAAGGAAGAAAAACTTTATATATCACTGCAAAAGGATGTATCTGGTGAGGAAGCATCTGGTCGTGTTGATTATGCGATTAAGGGAAAAGAGGATCTCATGTGTATCGCAGAAGGCAAGCCACGTAATATCAAGATTGGCTATCTTCAGAACATCATGCAACTAGAGAACGCATACCATACTAATAAGAAAAAACGAACGGCTGAACAAGCTTTTGGGAATGATTAATACGATTATCTTTATGGAATAGTGTCAACGGGTATGTAAAGGATTTTTACTATAATGTTTTATGCGAAAAATTTTATCAGAGCCTTTAGTTACTGTATATTAAATAAATCTACCATTATTCTAGGTATGGATTGGCATTTTATTGTCTTTACTACCGATGGGCTTTATTGCACAAGCGAAAGTGAATATCAGATAAATCTCTCGAAGACGGCAGTCAAAGAAAATCCAGATATACTTCGAAGTAACATAAAGCGGATAATAGAAATCATCGTTGGCCTATTGAAAGATCGAATCACTATTGATAACTCTCCAGCCAGTAAAAGGGCTAGGATCAAAAAAATTACCAAAAAATAGCGGATAAATAGTTATCCTGCTTCACATGTATTTTGTATTTTTTATTGTATTAGCGTGAGCAAGCCTTCGGCTAATAAAGCAATCAGACCTAAATGGTCTTTTTTTTTTATAATTAATTTTTGTGGGATAAGGGGGGTATCTTTATTTGGCTTAATTATCATCCGAGATTCATCAAGATCAATTTTTTGTATGTATTTCTTCTGGAATTTAATGTTAATATTCTTTATAGCGAGATCGAAGTAAAGTGTGATTCTAGATCGCGGAATTAATAGTGATTCTAAAAATTATTTATTATTACGGATAAAATTTTTCAAATTTTTCTTGGCATTTTTCGACGAACAGTTCTTCACTAAAATTTTGTCTCATTATATTAAGTTCCAGATAAAATTTTCCGATAGCAATTGTTTTGTCATTCACAACATATATTCCGCAGTACTTTGCCTACAAATCCAGGCACAGTAGTAAAAACCGGTTAGATTCCTTATTAAACCTAAGTCGCCTTTTAGATTCCATAGTTCAAATCTAGGCACAGTAATAGATTTTAAGAGATGTCTTCAGAATCATTCTCACTTCCTCTGACGAAGAGCCCGTTCACGAGATGGCAAATGTAGTTAAAGAATATGGAACCGATAAACTAATCGAGTATTTGCGAAAAAAGAATTTGAAACTAGATGACGAAGACCTTGCAATACTTCGTAAGGAAAAAATAACAGGTCTAGACTTCCTTGAAACCACCAAAGAAAACTTTCAAAGTTATGGTTTGAAAGGAGGACCAGCAACAAGACTTGCAAATTTCATCGCAGATCTAAAAAAATGTATGTGTACTGAGATTTTGTTTGCATTCTCAATTATCTAATTCGTTACTAAATTCTTCTCCATATAGCAAACACTCCAAAATCAAACACTGGACTTGTATATGTTTTTATGGACAATTCCAACTTATTTATCGAAGGAAAATATACTGTTGGTCGTATTGAAAACTTTTATAACCAAAGAAATTCCTATCAACTCAACCAGCTCTATGTTGATCATGGACGTCTTCTATCAACGGTATTGAAAAGACGAAAAATAGGCAGTGATCCGGTGATTGTTGGCTCTCGTCCACCTCCAAACGATTCACTATGGGATCGAATTCGTAAACAGGGCTTTAGTGTGACTGTTTATGACCGTGTCGCAAATAAAGAAAAGAAAGTCGATATGGAACTTGGAAATTCTATAGTGGATGTCACCCATATTAATGATCCTGGTGTAATTCTTTTAATCGCTGGCGATGGTGATTATTATCCTTCATTAACACGAGCCCTGGATCGTAATTGGAAGATTGAAGTCTGGTTTTGGTCATCAGGTATGAAATATTACTTTGCTTGAGTCACATAATTTCTCTAAGCCAATGTTTCATTATATAGGGGTATCTGGTGATCTTAAGAAAAAGTCCTTTGTTTACTACCTGGATGACTTTTACCGACATTTTTCATATGCGTACGGGCCAGATCCTGCGGGAAAAAACTATATCCTCGAAATAACTGATGGTGAAACGCTTGTAAAATGGAATGACGATGAAGTAATGAAATGTTTTGACTCATTAAAATTATTTGGATGGTGGTTCGGGAAAGAAGGACCGACTATATGCTTGTACTTCGATAACAAAACAAATTTGAGAAAGGCAAAGAATTGGGTGGAATCAAATCATCCGGGTGTAAAGGTTTGGGAAATAGAGAAAAGGAAAAGTTGGTCAGAATAATACTTATAGGTTCAATCCAAATTTCTGCTCCTGAAATTTTTTTAAATGCTCTTTCGTATTAATGATGATAAAATTTAACGGATGGCATATATCCAACGAATGAAGACGTTTACTTCACCATCGGTTTCAAATTTAAGTTGGGAAAATATCCTTGCCTTTTTGCAGTAACTGCTCAAAGCCAGAAAAAGTCGGATAACATATACTGATAACATATATTGATAGCATATACATCTTTTTTCCGAGAGACAATGTTGTGTCACGTGATGGTGATGTAACTCGACCGTGACTGGTCTCGAAGTTTGGCTGTTTTTTATTGCGTAGTGTGTAACATAGAATCGCCGAAAAATTCAACCATATGCTTTACTAATATAGCTCATATATATAATAAGTCACTTGATATAAAACCGTTCCCTCAGGGAACGATCACGAGATACATGAAAATTCTCGATCATATATAGTATCGATATCAATAAATAATGAAAAAATAATTATTTGATTGTCAAACCTTGGGGTATCCCAACCGAGTCTAACTGCTAGAGGATCGTCTACTGGCTTAGTAAAATCGAAAACTATAAATTCTCGATCCCGCAAATGCTTATCAATAATTTTAGATGCCTTTTTTGGATCATCTGTATATTGACGTACGATTCTACTAATATCGTCTCTACTACCCGAACCCCGAAATAAGCATATTTTCACGAATAATTTTAGGTGTTTGTGTATATTTCTGTGATACATAACT